TCTCAAGATTCTAGACTCTTAAGAACACAGTTGTAATTCAGTTTTGACAGGTTAACTGCTAATCTTAGAATAAAGGAACTATCTGTAATTAACTTAGGGGTAGCTATATAAATATGACCAGCTTTGAAGGCGATTGATTAGTATCTATTATCTTTGCAATCATATATAAAATATCATATTTTTTCTGTTGCTTACTTTATATAGTAAAAACTTAACTTTCCTGAATCCTTTTTCACACTTGCATAAAAGTCATCATTGTGTGAATGACTAGAGAAATGAAATATTTTCAACATTACTGTCATTTTGTCAAGAATGTCATTTTGTCTTTTGGGCTGTTATACATACATTCAAGATATATGATCTCTTCTGACTAAATGGAACTTGGATAGAAACTGTAGCCTCCGTTGACAAATGTGCATCTGATTTTCCATGATTATCCATGTAGGTCGCTTTCTGCAAATCTTCCCATTTTGTCCCTTTCTACCATTACTTATGATAAACTATTCCTCTAACAGAGGGTACTTTAAATTTGTGTCACCAGTTCTACATGAAGGAAACATTAATAAACTCTACTTTAGAAAATGCATTGTAAGATCTCAACAATGAAACTTCAGTAAATGCAACACCTTCTATATAAGTCTTAAATTGTAATTCACAAGTTTAAGTGTGGTAAATACAATTCCTGGCTACGAGGAATATTACTTATGCATTTTAGCATATTTAATTTAGAATTCCAAGAGAATTGCAAAGGATAAGAAAAGTAACTTAATCTGAAAACTGTCAGAAATTAATTCACGACAATCTAATCCAAGAGATTTAAAGAGAAAGGATTTAGTTCAAGCATAAAATACATTGTCCCTAACTCAAAACTTCATCCACCCCATTAGCTTCAGAGGATCCTATCCAAAATTTTCAAGAAAGTTTCAAAGATAAATTTTTATGAGTGTTTATATAAACAGCACTCTATAAAATGTACTCTCAAATTTTCTTTCAGATACAAAAACAAGTAGTTCCTGAATTACACAAGATTTGTGCTTACACAATTCTGCCTCCTACGCCATCTCTCGTAACACAGACATACTCTTTCCCCATTTGGAGTCTGTCGTATTTGGGAGTTTTTGAAAGATGTATGGATTCAGAAAAGAAAGGAATAAAGTACAAAAAACAAGGAGATAGCTCAGGGCTAAAAAAGCAGGTCCGTGATTTTAAAATGTCTTTGTTCAGCAATATCCTTCAAAAATTTATATATAGGATTATGTTAAGACTGTCAGCTTTTCATACCCAAGTGTAAGTACATTATGTTTGACTTCCTTAACCTGAAATAGGTATCAATTGCATAAAGGGCATAGGAGTTGGGGGGCCTTCCACCCTCTGAATAAGGGATAATGTATTCAGCAACATGACGGGAGTCATTAGAAGGGAGGAGTTTACAAAAAGAGAAGTAGAATGATAAAAGATCCGTTTTACCCAGTTCCAAATTTTGGACCAAGAAAAGGGAAGGAAACACTGTTCCCCTTTTCACCAACTGGGCCCCTGCTATCTGAATCCCAGAACTTAAAACAGTCCACTAACATAGGCTTTTATAAGTTGGTAGATAACCAATCACCATTTAACACTGTTTCAGTGGAAACACTAATTCAAGAACTAATTTATTACTACAGATGAAGTTGAGAGTCCATAGAAAGCATAAAGGATGAGGTCAAGCGTACTGGTAAAGGTGTTAAGTCTTAGGACGGAAAGAGGAGAGAATATAGGAAAATACAGTATTTCAGTTCCATATTCACGTTGTAATTAGCGCTTCTGCGCACTATTACCAAATCTGTACTGCTTGGCCTGACCTATCTTCTACTTGCTGTGTATTTCCACATGAATATCCTACATGCATCTCAAAGTTCAACATGCACATCAAAATTATCCTCCTCTATAATTTCAATCCTCTCCAGAGTTCTCCAATTTGTGTCTTTATCTTCCTAATTGCTCAATTTAAAATTCTTTTCTTAACTCTTCATTTAGTTGCTCAATTCTTACTTCGACCTGCAAAACATCTCCCAAATAAGTCCATGCCTCTGTTTTTCCCTCTGATATCACTGTCCTTTAGGCTCTTTTCTCCTTTAATCTACTGAAATATCCTCAAGTGGCTTTCATGTCTCAAGCTTTCCCTTTCCAAACTGCTCTCCATTTTTACCAGTTTCTTTTGGAGCAGGAATCTCATTACCTTTCTCATAAACCTTTGATGACTCTGCCATGCTTACAGAATAAAGTGGAAACTCTTCAGTATGACATTCAAAGCCCTTCATGTTATTCCCCCAATACACCATTCAATACACTGAACCTATTCCCACAATACACCATTCAATACACTGAACCTTCCTTCCTTGCATTTCTCTTAAGCTACTGGATATTCCACATCTTTTCCTAACACTGCTAAAACTTCTACCTCTGACAATTATTCAATTCTTCTTTGCACGTCACATACTACTGAGTATTTTAAGGCTCCACTCAATGCTGCTTATGTGTCTGATTCCCAATTAATAATCCCTATTCACCAGAATTAGTCACTACCTGCTGGAAGAGGCAATTACTTGACTTCTGTTTTTTACCTCCTCTAAAAACATTTGTTGTGAGGGAGGGGGAACACATCTCCATTTCAGTTATGTTGGTCACTTCTTCCTCACCCACCTACGCTGTTAATATTCAGCTCTGCCAATTATCCTTGTATTGGATCCTTGAACAACTCCAAGGTTAGGGGCACCAACCCCTTGCAGTTGAAAATATGCATATAAATTATATAGTCTTCCCCCTATATCAGATTCCTCCACACCCAAGATTGCAGACCGTCAGATTCAACCAATCTCGGATCCTATGGTACTGTAGCATGTACTATTTCTTAAAAACATTTACGTGCAAGTGGACCTGCGCAGTTTGAACCTATGTTGTTCAAGGGTCAACTATCTCTTGAACATAACTTCACACATAAGCCCCTACACATTAAATTCTAGACATGCTGCTCAAATATGACACAAAAGGATATTTCAAACAAGGAGAGGAGAGGTAGTTGAGGCAGTTTTTATCCAAGATGGGGACTATAGTTTCACTATGGCCTTGAACTTCTAAAATGAGTTTTCCCATCTATTTGTAAGGTATCTGCATTTATGTAGGGAGGAATGGAGACTCATACAAAATGCCAATGTCAAACAGAAGTTCCTTTGCATCTTCAAACCCGTTCCCTTCCTTTCTAGAACTGATTGCTTAATGTCCCCACTCAAAATTTACCTGCCCTTATAATGCCTCTTGAAGGCCTCCTTAATCTCAAAACCAGGCTCCTCCTCCCCCACCCCATCCCACTTTTTTGGGTAATCTCAAATCTTTTAATAACCATGCATGGCTCTCTCCACATCACTGCTTCTGGAAGAACAGATCAGGAATAGGGAAGGTTGGTTGCCCTGAGCTAGGACAGCCCTAACCCTCCCCCAGACATCTAACTGCTTTTGAGAACTAGCACCAAGATTAGTGCAAATAAAAGCAGCTTTCTATAGTGTCACTACATCAATGGTATGAGTTGAATAAACCTGGTATCAAATTGTACAAATCTACCTAAAAGCAACTTAAGTATAGAACACTGAACCACATATTGGTATTTGTTTTATAGGGAAATACCACTGCATGTAAGTTTTTTCCACTCATAGTTATAAACCTTTTAACTCTTTGCAATTACAATTTTTTAACCAAGCCATTAGTTAAAATTCAGGACTCAAGCTGGTGACTGCAAACACAATGTTTGCTTTATATAGCCACAAAACAAAACAAATTACAGGAACACTGGAGGAAATGTTTCAAGAGATTTCAAATGAGAGAAAAACAATGGCCGAATAATTGGGCTGGACTATGGTCTGAATTCCTATGTTGAAACCCAACCCCCAAGGTGACGGTTCTAGGAAGTAGACTTTGGGAATTGATTAGGACCTGACAGCAGGAACCTTCATGAACGGCATTAAAAGGGGCCCCAGAAAGCTCCCTCACTTCTGCCATGTGCACCCACAGCAAAAAGACACCATCTGTGAACCTCTAAGTGGGCTCTCTCTAGACAGCAAGTCTGCTGGTGCCTTTATCTTGGACTTCCCAGCCTACAGAACTGAGAAATTTGTTTATATGCCAGTATTTTATTACAGCAGCCCAACAGGCTAGCCCAACAACAGGCTGCTAGGTTACGTATTTTCACCAAAACTAAATTTTTAAGTTTAATACCTCCTCACTGTATTTTCTGTAGACTAATTCAAACACTCTTCAAGCTATAAACCCTATTACTTTATAACATAACCTTTCCTCACATCATTCCTTTAAAAAATTTAACCATTCTCTTTACCAACATGTTAGCACTTCTTAGTCATAACTTCAACAGGGTTCAAAGCTCAGTTACATTGTTAAGATTTCTCTAAATGCATTTTTTTAAGCCAGCTACATATACTTGTTTGTAATAATGAAGTATGTCATAGTGTCCCCAAAAATGGTTTGGATGCATTGTTTACAAGCTGTATACCATACCACACATCTAATACACATCTTGATTTTGTAGTGACTATGTAAGTCATACCATCGTGGCACTGCTTATCAAGTCAACAGTGATTCTAAGTAAGGATATTTAAGTGTCTTAAGTGTCACCCTTCCTGTGTGAAACAAGATGGGAACAACTCATTTTTTCCCCAGGATGGTAGCACCTTTCTGATCTATACAATCTACCGTACGGAATCACATATAGCCTCTTAACACCTTTACCTTTTTTCATGTCTAAATATTGCCCAATTACTCAGAAAAACTTTTCCTTTGTTATTTGAGATGAACTTTGGCTTTGTATAATGAAAAACCATACAGGGGAAATTGTGTTCTAGAATTTCTTACTGGAATAAGACCTTATATATACACTACTGAGTAGAAGTTTGAATTTCAAAGTAAAAATACATACGCTGCCAACTTCAAGCTTCAGAATCCAAAATCTCCATCTATTATTTTAACATCAATTATATTTCCTTTGGTTCAAGTATCCCATTCAGTATCAACATAAATTTTGCACACCAAACAAGTGCCATTTTCTTTCATTATAAATATATGGTAAGTCAAATGATATTTTATGAAACAGTTCATGCATAAAAACATATAAGCTATAAACTAGTCAGCCTTACTTTTGCCCACAACCATTTCCATTCATGAGATGGGGAATTCCTCCCCTTAGAGGTAGTGGTGTCAAACTGGACTCTTCAAATTTCAGAGGGAGGAGGTACAATTAGTATAGACATTTAGCCAGCAAAATGCAAACTTAAAATCCATCTCCTAGTCACACATTCAAACATGAAAAAACAGCCACACACAAAGAGTCAAGACTAGTTTAAAAGGGGGGGGCCAAATTATTATTATTTAAAAATTTGATTACAACCGATTTTGTTGGCATTAAATTTTTAAATTTGACTGGATATAAACCAAAAACCAGAAACTAAATTTGGTAAAAATGGGAAGTTGTTTTCCAGTAATTACAGATTATTAGAAGGCAGAAATCAATTTAGAGAAACACAGACAAACTCCATGTTTACAATGATTGTGCCACAGATTTAAACTTCAGTAGTGCATTAGTAAACTGTTCACATTTAGATCTTCACCTTGAGATTCGACAGCTGTTTCTTGAAAAAAAATCTCAGTACTTGTGCAAATAGATCGGTCTTCCATGTGCCTTAGCACACTTAAAATTTCTCCACTGTATATATACAAAACACCTACCATTTGGGCAGGGCAAAATACATACTTTCATAACAAAACTATAATGTACCTCTCAAGTATGAACAATATACACATAATACATGGTATACAGTATTTACAAAATATAAAATATAATACAAGCTGTTTGTAATTTTTAAAACTCATCTTTTGCACTTGTCTGTTGCAACAAGGCAACTTTCCATTTCTGTACCACATTTCTTTTTCAAGAGTCCAGGGATTTTGGAAAAACTGTTTTACATACATACTGAAATCTAACTTTGAACTTTTAGGAGAGTTTTTAAGTGTACTGCCATCAACTCCCTATTCTGGTTGGAATTTTCAATGGTAGTTCCCATCCAGTGACTAGGAGGCTTTGGAAGAACACTAGGAGAAGGTGGATCACTAAACTTTGCCCCAGCATAATTTTCCTTTTGGCTCACTTCAGTTAGCAATGCTGATTTCTTCAAATGCTTATTTTTAATGTTCTCGGTATTTTTAAAAGGCTTTTTTTCCTGCTTCTGAATTATATCAGATGAAACAGAATCCTGCCAAAAGTTATTTTCATTTCTTTTTGCAGAGGTGATCTTGGTTAGTGGTAAATTATATTTGCTTTTCTGTCTGTTTATCTTTGGTTGTTCACACAAGTGTATACCATGAACAAGCTGGCCGTGGGGAATGGCAATTTTCTCCGATTTTCCCATCTTTGATTTTAAAACCTACAAAGACAAGGAACATAAAAGTGAATACAGTCTCATGATAAAAATCAGTCATGAATCTCACCATATATCTATTTTCTTTTAAAAAGTTCCCCTGGACTTTCTCGTTCACTGTCTTGATTAAATGTGCTTGCTACACTTATTACTGGATGTCCAAATAGGCACAAATAGTGTATAATTGTACACTAGAAACAGTTAATCATCACTGTTACCAGGATGCAGTGTGAGGTGATTCTAAAATATAAAAAGCCCAAGGTAACCAGGTCCATCTTTCTATAAGAGCGATGGGCTATCTTCCAAACCTCTGTGCCAACCTCTTCCTGATAAAGGTCAGTGTTTTTACAGTAGGATGTTGCCAAGAGAAATTTTCAAAAGCTTTGGTTAATTAAGCATTTAATCAAGAAAAGGGCTATGTTAATAGATACACTATTTACCTTTTAAGGTAAGTACTTGAAAAAATTATTTCAGAATAAAAATTTGATTAGCAGGAGCTAGATTTTAAGTGAGGAAGTGTTTTGATAATGGTTACTAAGTACACACATAAAAATTATCTCCCAGCTTCTGAAAGCAAAATTTCAGAATTTTAAATACTAAAATACTTACCACTTTCTACCACCTTACCCAGTTATACATACAATACATACTCAGGAATGGTTTCTGCCAGTCCCCTACCTTCTCATTTAACTGCTTCAAGAACTTTACTGCACGAATTCCACCCATTTTCCTAACTCAAGGGATCCTTATAGGAAGCCAGGAGGAGATGGAAAGACACGGTAATCTATTAGATCACTGCCCTTTCAACACTTGCAATACGGTAGGAAAACAGGACACAAATATAGAAAGCTGGAGCACAAGGTAACATAATCCATGTCAATAAGGTTAACTGCCAACAGAGCTCCCTGGTTTTAATACTGTTCTAGAACATAAAGGACTCTGACTAGGACAAGTACAAAAGCTCTTTTTTAGACTATCACTAAAATTTAAGAAGAGCCATGGAACTGAAAGGAATCGATAATTTAAGAGATCAAGGTAGGCAAATTTAACTTTTCCCAAGAGCACGGCTAGATAGGCTGCAAATCTCTCAAGCCAATATTCTTTCAGCAAATGTCAGTAACTTATTTTCATCATTATTATGAAAACCTTAAAAATTAAAGCCAATGTTTTATTTTGATAAAGGTTACTTTAAGTCATTTTAGCAACTTTATGCCGTTTGAGTTTTCATCAGTTTTATCCTAGTCCAACAGCAAATCGGGCAGCATAATGTAAATTGGTAACTTTCAAAAATTTCATTCTGGACACAAGTAAAACTGCCTTCCGTAAAGAAAGCAGGGCACAGTATTCAGTAGAGGTTGTTAATAAATTCCGCTCATCCGATAGACTAGCATGCAAAATCTAGCG